TTGAAGAAAGATCTTTATAAACTATTCTAATCACTCTTTACTTTATACTCTAGAACCCTTAAAACATGTGTCTTTAAACTAGTTTCATCAATTAATATGAAATTTAGCACCTGGTGAATTCAGTTGAGTACTAGGTGACAGTCTTAGTGTGGACTGAACCCATGTGTTGAGATTGGCTATTTCACAGGAGGTAGAAAATAGAGAAGAGAGCATATGGTAATAATCCTTGAAAATATGGTATTTCAAGTCCCAGTGCATTTGTCATTTTGTCAACACTTGATACTTAACACAATGATTGTATCAATTGATAAACCACTATAAAGTGGCTACAGAATTTCAAAAAATCAGTTACACTATACCTGAAGGGAAAGGGGAGCTAAAGCTCGAATTCAAAAAAAATCCCTGTATCTAGAGAATTCAGAATCTTGCCTTAGTGACATCACACAGTTTTTAGCTTCAGATCAATACATTGTGAAACTGGAATTTTGAAAGAGGTGTGAAAGTAATCCATTAAGAAATAACTGAAAATTATAAGAATTTATTTTCAACTGGAGTAATGCCATTTATAAAGTAATGAACTGTACATGCATACTGAATTATTGAAACTCACCATAAAGTACAAGTGCTTGTTGATTTTTAATTTTACTGTTAAGATAAAATTTTACCATTTATTGATCTATTATGACATATTTTTCTGTAGAAGCGGTCTCGTCTCATTTCAAACCCTATTTATTTTAGTTTATTCACACTATGTTTTAGTAGATAATATATTACTTTGTCTGCTTTGTTTGACTTTTAACATGGTTCCTATTTTTTTCTGAATTGATTGTTGAATATCTTCATCACTCTGTTCAAAAACTTTTTGTGGTGTTCTGGAAAGTTCTCTTAGTCCAAGAAATTTAAGATTTATTGAAAAACAGTTGTACATGTGAGAAAAGAGCTTGTTACCATTTATTTAGAGCAGGGTTTCTCAAAATGTGCATTTGGTGTTACAGAAGGTGTGAATTGAGATTGCAACCCTTTTGGAAAATATTTTATTTTTCTGTAAAACTTACAGAAAAAAATAGTAATGCTGTTTATTTTATCAAATTTTACCTAATAAGAATAAAATAAATAAATTTCATACAGCATTACATTTTAATACCTTTGAAATCAAGCTTTTTCTTACTAGTGCAACACAAGATAAAGATGTGGAAATAGAACTATGGCATCAACTAACACGTATACAACCAGGCTCACTAAAATAATTGAATAGCTCATGTTAAAAGTGTTAAGTTACAATTCTCCTTCTTCATATTTTAGCCGACATAATAGAATTTTATAATTTAGTAGTTCATTGTGTTGTTATACCTCCATCCATTTTGCTATTTAAAAGTTTAATAAAGCATTAGACAGTTAATTATTACAATTTCTTGAAAATTTTTTAATGTAGGATTGTGGCAAAGGTGCTATCTGTAGGCAACTAAAGGGGTTGTGACA